TTGTATGGGAACATAACAAAGGACAATGATTTGTGGGAACATAACAAAGGACATTGTTGTATGGGAACAAAACAAACGACATAGTTGTTTGGGAACATAACAAACGACAAAGTTGTTTGGGAACATAACAAAGGATAATGTTGTATGGGAACATAACAAAGGACAATGTTCGATTGGAACATAACAAAGGAAAATGTTGTATGGGAACATAACAAACGACATAGTTGTTTGGGAACATAACAAAGGATAATGTTGTATAGGAACATAACAAAGGTCAATGTTCTATTGGAACATAACAAAGGGCAATGTTGTATTGGAACATAACATCGGACAATGTCGTATTGGAACATAACAAATGACAATGTTGTATGGGAACATAACAAATGACAATGTTGTATGATAACATAACAAACGACATAGTTGCATGGTAACATAACAAATGACAATGTTGTATGATAACATAAAAAACGACATAGTTGTACGGGAACATAACAAACGACATAGTTGTATGGGAGCATACAATAGGATAATGTTGTATGGGAACATAAACTATTATGCTGTGTTAAAACATAACAAGGGACAACGTTGTATGGGAAATAAACGACAATGTTGTTTGGTTTGGTTTCATGTTGTTTAACGTCCTATGGTAGCAGTATACAGTAGAGGGTTGTGGCCATGGGTGATATTTGTGTTAAATGGCTAACCTCTGTATAATGATATGTACAAAAATCATAAAAATAAAACTGTACTAAAATTGGTATAAGCATGATGAAGTGGGCTATGTGAGCTTCACATTTGTAAAAAGAAGAAGATATTTTTGGTTCGAGACTACAATTTTGGCCATAATCCGAAAGGGTGCCTACACATGAAAAGCTAGCTTTACAGGAGGTACATTTTTGACAACAGCACATGACGCAAAATTGCAAAAAATCAAATTTTACAACTTTACTGGGACCCAGATAATTCTGCAACCAGGAAGGTAATCTTTAATTTCAGACATAACTTAGGAAAAAAATAGAAGTTGCGGGTGTCAAATTTTGGGTCAAAAATAGCAATTTTTGGCAATTTTTGGTAATTTTTGATGTGGTAACCATGGTTTTCACACAAGTGACATACATAGAAAAAAGAGGTTTATACACTTCTCAGTACTTTATAAGTATTGTAAATGTAATGCAGTTTACAAATATATATACATGTATACATGTGTTGAGTAGGGTAAATCCGCTGTGTTTACATTTACTCGACATGTGCCTTGTTTATCAGAGTCGGGCCATTTCTACTGTATACTGCTACCTATTAACAGCTAAGGCCATACAGGAGATAGGGTGTGTTGGCGAGCTTGCCTTCTTGTGATAGCACTGATCTGATGCCAACTATATAGTGAAGGCACCCAGCAAAACATCCCGCCAGGTCCCATTATCCTGACAACGGGTGAACCATGTGTTGCCACTCCCCTTAATGTTGAGGATAGAGGACACCAAAGCAAATCCCAAATTCTGCAGGGGGTCACGCATTAGTCGCCTCGTACGACACATGCAGTGGGTACCAGCAGGTGTATTCTTTTCCCGATCGCCCACCTGCAGGTGTGTGTTGTATGGTAAAATAACAAACGACAATGTTGTATTGGAGCATTACCGCATAGTTCAGAGGTCTCGTGTTTAAACCCGGATCTGAGGTCTTCTTTTCAGTAATTTAAAAAGCAAAAGTCTGGTTTAAAATATGCACAATCACATCATTTGGCAGTGGTTCAGGAATCCTCATGTATCTGAAAAAAGTAAATGACTTTATACAGACAATTTACATTTTCCCTTTAGGAAACTAGATATTCATATTTTTCTAAAACCTTATGTCGTCATTTATTGTGAAAAGATCGAGAAAGCAATGCATGAGCAGCACAGTAGTGTTGTGTCTACAAGGATGTGGATGTAATTGTGCACCCGTCAAAAAACTTATACTGAACACGCCTTCTACTGTTATTCAGTAACTCTCATTAAAACAAAATCGTGACCATTCAATTAATACCGGATACAAAACACCCACGTTGCAGGGATGAGTGGGATGGGGTTGGATGTAGAACAGTAGCTGTAACAGCACAAAACCCTCCAAAGTTACCCTTCATCCATGCTATAATTGGATTGGACACCGTAAAATATCAGTCACGTATGACTAGATATTAACATCTAGGTAACCATCATTACAGACGATATCAGGTTAGGTATTTAGCAGCAGTGAGCGAGACGCCCGCCATCTTAATATACTGGTGTTTACAACTACCCGGACCAGCCATCCGGAACATCACACGGTGATATTATAAACCATAATTTCAAGCTTTATATCTAGCAACCTTTAAACCCAGTTGTGCACTGATGCTTTGATAAATCTCAGCCTTATCTCCTTTTCCCCTGGGTAGATATTCGATTAGATAAGATACTGAGTATAACTTTATGTTTAACTATTTATATGATGATATCAGATTGTGCTAATTTCCCTTTTGTATATTACACCTTCTACTGCATTTGCTATGTAATTACAATTTTCATTGGTTAATGGCCATGGATAATATTGGACGATAGACCATGCCCGTGCGTGTATTATTTTCCAACAGACCAAAGCTCTTGCTAAAACCTCTCATGCAAATGTACCGGTAAATAAGCAAGTCGGGGTACCCGCATCTCAGTTTGTATGTATTTTAAGATTGGCTAGCGGACATTTTTTTTTTATATTTAACCTCTTGATCTACTTAAAACCTTTCAATCGCTCATGGTCAGAATGTTCCGCTGACTTTGCGGGAAGATGACTAGAAACAGTGTTTTCAAATCTGTCAAATGCCAATTTCACGTGTTGACGAGCGATGTCAATAGATTGGTGGATGTAATTGATTGAAATAACATCTGGCATAAAGCATGACGTCAGTGTTGATCTTTCATCGTCTGTCGACCGAATGGCGAATAAAAAACCAAATAGAACCAAGTTAAACAGACAAAAAACGAACACTGACCAAAGGGTCAGAAATGAAGAAAAAGCGCAGCATGTTGTGAAATGAAGACATATAGGCATCACGTGAAAAATGTAAGCGCGCGTAAAAGAATAGCCTTATCTAAATATAATTAGATTAACAGGGTCACATTGCTTAGTAAGGCCATATGAACACTAAGGTAGACACGTAGAACACTATCATTACATTTTACTTGGCAGAATAGATGTAATCAACGACGTATGTTGTACATTATGGTAGAATATATATCGCGGGTTTCGAAAACAAATCAACTCAGGCCACTAGCAGTGGAGGTCACGCATGCAGGCATTGGGGAGGGTGAAGATTGAAGACAAAGACATATGTAGTACGGAAGGAGGATGAGCAGTGATCCAGTTGTAGGGACAGTTGGTCAATACTATAGACACCCTTCTTGCAAAAATATATGCATCCCGTTCTATTAAGAATAAATTCTATAGAAATACTCCGTTTAAAAAAGATTTAAATCCAGGGGAAACGTACTTTCCATCCATGATGTATAAATGAAACAGTAACTCTCGGCTACTCTCCGTCCAGCAATTCTGTAAAAACACATAAATTCTACAGTGACCCGAGTCCAACAAGACTTTAAATATTTCCCTAGAGTAACACTCGTTCAGTACGTTATCCCACAAAAGCACCACCAACCCACATACACTCTCGGTGTTATCCATCCTGGAGTCGAAATAACAGAGCATACTTTCTACTCAAACACTCTACAATACGGAAAGCCTTGAGAGTGGCATACTGAAATGTTCTGTATAGTCCGTGGATAGCACCTGTATTTACATTCAATTAAGTATACTAGATCCGTGTAAGGTGAGAGGCGAGTGTCAAGTGTGGTGGATCGTGACGGTCGTGTACTCCGGGTATCCAAACAATTTTCTCGATTTTCACGATTCAGAAAAAAACCGTCACTGGCCATTTAAAAATGAACACTGCAAGGTACAAATATTTCCACAGGGACGACGCCTGTTTTATACTAACTGACACCGGGGTATAGCCTCAATGTCTGTTTTCGTAGGTAAACATTTTCGTCATATTAATAAAAATAGTGTTGTACTGAAAAGATTCATGAATAAACAAATGGTTAGTGATTTTCTTAGTTTTTACTTTTTTGATACCAAATATGGCCTGACATAGATAGGCATTGTCAACATGTTAACAAAATGTATTTCGTGAAGGCTATCTGAATTATAAACATGATCACTTGGTTTATTCAAAGCAATATTAGAATAGTGCTTTCTTTCGTAACGTCTCTGTACCTATCTTTTACCTCTGTATCACATGGTAACAAGTGTATTGATTCACCTTAAATGGACATGTGTTATATTGGGCCGTACTGGCGACATAAATGTACATTTGAAATTCTTACCGGCAAATTAAAGCGAACTGTCAAATTCATATGACATGAAACTTTTGTAAAAGTTTTTGAAATGTCGAATTAAAAGTCATTTTGACCTATAATGCTCACTTAAACTGCGCAATGACAAATCGCTTTCATTCGTTACTGGTAAAGTGGCAATTTTTTGTGTGGACAAAAACAAAAAATTGACAACTTATAGATTCAAATTGTTTTCATTGGTCTATTAATATATATGAAAGCACGACCTTAATATCTTACTGTGATAAGACAAGACACTTGATTAATCCTTTATTTTACTGGTTTTAACGTAGATCAGGGACAGCGGACCCTGAACATTCTGCGCGTGCAAGTTGTGCACAAAGTTTGGGATGTCCAATTAACAACACACCATGTAGAACGGCAATACCTTGTTTGTATGTATTAGGTATTCCGGTTTATTCGCGAATAGACTTACGTTGATATGCGATGGTAGATGAATGTTTTATAAATTCTGACAACATGATGACTATTTATGTATTTCCCTCTTTTAGTATTGTCAATGAAGCATGGCGTGCTAGCTGTACCACACCCAGGGTAGACATAGACGACGGTCATACACAACACTCACCTTACTCAAGCGTCGATGGTACTCCTGTCTAGCGGTGAACAGACACGAGCGTCATAGTGTTGGATTTACGAGGATTGGCTGCGAATCTTCTGTTGCTGTAAGTATATCATCATTAACATAGTTGTGAAGCTAGGTACATATAAAAGTTTCCTTTTAGACAAAACATTAGGTAGCTGACTGTAGTGTAAACAGATAATGATGTAAACATAGAACCGCTTCTGTTTCAGACTGTATACATTAATTCTACGAACTGAGCTAGCTTACGACGAACCTATCGGGTGTCTAATGCTTACACATACAGATGCAAAATTCTGTAAAAAACACTATACTTTTAAATGATTTATTTAGTTCACTGAACGAACGACTATGCTAGAGTGTGTTTTAAACTCCCAATAGCATAACACTATCCGCCGTATATATGTCTGTGGTCTGTTAACCTCAACTTCTAGTCGAACGTTTATATTATACAATGTACGTTGTCTATTTACCACCTTCTATGCCCACTATCCGTGAAATGTTTACATCGAGAACTTATGTCAGCTATGTCAGTTTATAAGTTAGTATACCAGTAACGCCTGTTCATTGTACGCTTTACCTGCGGGCTAATTACGTAGTGACAATTACTGGTAGAACACCTGTGCACAAGTATACACAGAGTTATCAAACTGTTGAGAAATAATAATTCGGAACATTTACTTTCACCATTAAACTCGGTAAAACAATGTGTGAAATTAGTTAAATATCATTTTACTAGTCTGGATAATGAAAAGTGGCTTATAGATTTATATAGTCAAGTCAAGTCAATTTTGTTTATTATAGTGTCATATATCACAATTACATCGTACAAGTATATATAGTTCCACAGTGTAAAAACATATAGTTACATAACAGGGATCAATCATCTTAATGTAAAAATATTTAGACCATATCAAAATTTTGTTAAGAACGGTTATTATACGTAATAGATTAATGAATTAAAACAAACTATCACATGTGCCAATCTAGAGAGCAGGTGATTGGGACAGCCCCTACCTAATAAACTCCACGATTTTGTCCTTACATATTAAATACTATAATAGTTAAAAGGTTTCTTTTACATTTACTGCCTTAAAACATGATGTCTTTAAAAAAACCAATAACAATGGTGATAAATATAATGAATAATTTCCTAGTTCTACATTGTAGTGAGATTTAGGTTTCCAAGGGTTGGGGAGCCTCCTACCAGCGAGGTCTGCTACATTCACACTAACTAGTAGCTAATCATAATTTAAACGGAAGATTATTTTCATAAAAAATGTTTCTGATTGACACCTGGTATCATATTTAACAAATGCATAAAATAGAAAATTTAATTGTATGATATTCAGCCTAAAATGGCTTACAAGACACTGTTTAAAATTATAACTAATCACATAGACTGCTACGTCTTCTGTACATATTATTTAAGTCGTTTGCAAGTGGAATTTGTAATTCCTCGGAAGACATTATACAATTAAATTTGTCAGTGTTATTAAGACTTGCAAAATCATTCCTTATATTATTTGCTACATTAAATAAGGATGATCTTATGTCATTATATTAATCAGATTAAATTAAAAAGTGTAATTCATCCTCTATACAGTTATTTACATTTGTACATATCTTACAAAAGCGTTCCTCTAGTAGAATCACAGGTTTGGCGTATCTGCCAGTTCCACTGCTAGAGGTAGAGAGCCACATCTAAAGTTAAAAAGTACTCTTCGTTTGCTCTTTTGTCTAACAAGCTTGACATATCAATCTGTTATTACATTTGATTTAAAAGTTCTGTAAGTTCTCAACTTGTTACCTTTTATATTACCACTATCATTCCATACAGACTCGTACCATTCATCAGCATCTGAAATGATTAGTTTTTCTTTCACTCGTCTAATCTTGTGTTTAACAGAAAACGTTGAGTTTAGATTACACGGAAACGTATGCCTCGCAATCATTATATAATGACTGTAGTTGTAATAACGGCAATAAGTTGAGAACATACAGATTGTACAAAACTAGTAATTACACGGAAACGTATGCCTCGAGTATTATGGATTTCAGGTATAGACAGGCGTTAGCTAAATGTCGCAGTGGTAATTTGAAGCTAAGCATTGAAACTGGTCGGTAATCTCGCCCTAAAATACTTTTAGAAGATAGACTTTGTACATGTTGTATTTTAAACTGTATCGAAGACGAATGCCTTTTTCTGATTCAATGTGATTTTTATTCAGATATCAGAGCTCATATTTTTACAACAGCAGAACAGATTGTACCAGGTTTTAACTATTTTAACACTGTATAGAAACTTGTTGTCTTAATGGATGAACCTAATTTACAATATGTCCTGGCGAACACAGTTCATAAAATGTATCGTAGAAGAATGTGTTTTTAATATTAAGTCCTAACCTTTGTAATTTATTTATTTTAAAAATACCTATGAACTGATTTTTAGTATTGATAAATTACGTCGTAAGAACGAATATGTATAGTGTCTCGTAATCCTCAGTATAGGTTGGGTGTCAATCCTATTGTTGTACATTTCAGACCATGCTTGTTTGTATGTATTTTAAGCAAAATTGACATGACTGTGACACTTTAATAAAATAATTTGTATTGTATTGTATTTATTGTAGTATACACACGTATTACCCATACAGGTATATAGGTATATTTTCTCTTGTTTATGTACTGAGCTCTCAAAATTAAAAAAAAACCTTTGTTATAACTTGAATATAGTCTGTTTGTCCCGTCTGTCAAATCGAAAGCGGGGCCTTACAATAACTACATCAAATAATTGAGTAAATGATTCTTTTGGGGTACGTCACATTTTCTTTTCTTCAAAAATCACAACCAGGTCAGGAGGTTGGTATTCATTACGAAAACATGTCTGCATTAACTGTCTGGTTGTCTATTTAAGAGACTTGCGACACATATCGATATGTGTCGAAAGCCAAGTCAGCTTGCTGTGACAGAGAGATTTGTTAAGTCAGTCTTTGGTGTGGTACTAGTGACACAGAATCGTACAGTACCAAAGTGTGGAGGCACCAGACGTATCGAAATGCCAACTGAACCTAGGATCCACAGACAAAATGGTTTCATTCAGTGCTATTTGTGAGTGGCAGGCCAGTAATAGTGGTATATACACTTACAATCAGTTCGTGTCTTTCTTATAGACCGATATAGATTTCTCATACATGCTTCGCATCATTTAAAATGCAACATGAATATTCTGCAAAACACTTCCAACTGATCTTGGCCTGCTCTTTCTTAGTTCAGGCATGATGCAAACAAAGGTTAATCCTGACATGTTTGATCGAAGTTAATTAGTGTTAGCATACATGTGAGGTACGAGAATCCTATCAATCATCTCCAACCTTTACTACAAGGAGTTTGACAAAACTGACAACATTTATTTTAATTAAGGTTGGATGAGTCTGCCTATATTTATTTCTTAATGAACGCAGTAAAAAAGCCAAATGTTTTATGACATGGCCTTCTTCAAATCTATATAAGATTATTGTTTTTATACTTTTCACAAATTTATCAAACATTGCAATCTTTCACACTAAAAGCGCTCACAGATTTATCAAACATTGCTATCTTTCCCACTAAAAGCGCTCATAGATTTACCAAACATTAAAACCTTTCCCACTAAAAGCGTTCATAGATTTACCAAACATTGCAATCTTTCCCACTAGAAGCGCTCATAGATTTATCACACATTGCAATCTTTCCCACTAGAAGTGCTCATAGATTTACCAAACATTGCAATCTTTCCCATTAAAAGCGCTCATAGATTTACAAACATTGCAATCTTTCCCACTAGAAGCGTTCATAGATTTATCAAACATTGCAATCTTTCCCACTAAAAGCGCTCATAGATTTATCAAACAATAAAACCTTTCTACTAAAAGCGCTAACAGATTTACCAAACATTGCAATCTTTCCAACTAAAAGCGCTCAGATTTATCACACATTGCGATCTTACCCACTAAAAGCGCTCATAGATTTACCAAACATTGCAATCTATCCCACTAAAAGCGCTCATAGATTTATAAACATTGCAATCTTTTCCACTAGAAGCGTTCATAGATTTATCAAACATTGGAATCTTTCCCACAAGAAGTGTTCATAGATTCATCATGCACTGCAATCTTTCCCACTAGAAGCGTTCATAGATTTATCATACACTGCAATCTTTCCCACTAGAAGTGCCCATAGATTTATCAAACATTGCAATCTTTCCCACTAGAAGCGCTCATAGATTTATCATACACTGCAATCTTTCCCACTAGAAGCGTTCATAGATTTATCATACACTGCAATCTTTCCAACTACAAGGGTTCGTAGATTTATCATACACTGCAATCTTTCCCACGAGAAGCGTTCATAGATTTATGATACACTGCAATCTTTCCCACAAGAAGCGCCCATAGTTTTAAAAAACAATGCAATCTTTCCCAATAGAAGCGTTTATAGATTTATCATACACTGCAATCTTTCCCACTAGAAGCGCCCATAGATTTTTCATACACTGTTATCTTTCCCACTAAAAGCGCTCATAGATTTATCATACACTGTAATCTTTCACCACTAGAAGCGTTCATAGATTTATCATACACTGCAATCTTTCCCACTAAAAGCGCTCATAGACTTATCATACATTGCAATCTTTCCCACTAGAAGCGCTCATAGATTTATCGTACACTGCAATCTTTCCCACTAGAAGCGTTCATAGATTTATCATACACTGCAATCTTTCCCACTAAAAGCGTTCATAGACTTACCAAACATTGCAATCTTTCCCATTAGAAGCGCTCATAGATTTATCGTACACTGCAATCTTTCCCACTAGAAGCGTTCATAGATTTATCAAACACTGCAATCTTTCCCACTAGAAGCACACATAGATTTATCATACACTGCAATCTTTCCCACTAGAAGCGTTCATAGATTTATCATACACTGCGATCTTTTCCACCAGAAGCGCCCATAGTTTTAAAAAACAATGCAATCTTTCCCAATTGAAGCGTTCATAGATTTATCATACAATGCAATCTTTCCCACTAGAAGCGCCAATAG